TTCGCGGGATTCGAACCTCGGACCGAACTACCAGGGTTCAGCGACTTTACCGCTCGGCCGCTGGTGGGCCCTTAATTATAGTAATAACTGCACAAAAGAAAAAAAATCAAATACATAGTTCAATTAACTGTTTTCAAGCGTTTTCGAATTACATTAAAAGATGAGACGAATTCTAAACTCCCTCGTATCCGCATCCGAGTTTGAATCCTAAAAGGTTTTCGAATTTCTCGAAACTATCCCCTAATAACGCAACGACGATGAAAGGAGGACTTTTAAAATTTGATACAAAAAATATTTATCAAAGAAAAACTGGAAACCTAAGTTTTATGAGATACAAACTGAAGAGTGCAGTTTTTAAAAATACATCTGTATTTCAAATTAGAGAAAAAAGCAATCTTTAGACTGGCGTAGATGTTGAATAAAATTACTGAATTTGAAAGCGATTAAATATAATTTCATCATGTTCAGAAGTTTTATTTAAAAGTAATGACAATCTAAGGCTTGTTTTTCTTCGCCCAGTTTTAAATTTTACTTTCTCATATCTCCCTTCCGTTAATAATATTTATATTTATTAAGACAACACAAATTAAATTTAGTAAATGAAAAACTTAATTAAAGGTCTTATACGGTTCATTATATTGATACAATTTCAAAAAAACATATTTGATTAACATTTCATATTCCTCAAACTTTTTCCTGAATCTTTTTTTAAAGAGAGAAAATCTGAAGAATATTTTAAAAGTTAACACAGATTATCCACACGACAGAATTATCTCCAAAAAGTAAGAAAATTACATTGAGGACTGCTATAAGTTCTACTCAAAGCAGAACAATCGTGTTCTTTTTCTAACGAATGTTTATATTAAATAGCAATACAATTAATTATTCCAAAGTTTCGAGGAAAAACATGTAAAAGTTTTAGAATAAAATTCAGAAGATTCGAATGACGAAAAGGGAATGAAGATTCATGGGATTCAAAATGATTCGATAACCTCATCCTTTATTTCTATCGTCGTACAATATATATGCTGTTATTTTACACACATGGTCATGTAAAAGCAGAAGTACATTAAAAATCATAAAACAAAACTCTAGATCCCAAGAATACATCCAATACAAAACTTCAAAGCTCAGTAACAATAGTTTAAAGTTTAAGATAACGACTGAGAAAAGAAAGAAACAGATAACTCACAGTATATAAAATTTAACAAACCCTATTTCCTCCGAATTTCCATGTCAAAATTGTATATTGAAAGAAAATACTGTAACATGGAAAAGGTTAAACTATTTAGGAATTCTCAAAAGCGCAGATTTTTTTTTTTTTTTTAAATCTCTACGAAATACCCTAACAAACCTATAGTCGCAGCTTCTGAAACGGAATTGTATAGTTTTCCGACCTAAGCACGCAAGCTGTGAAGTGCAAATAACTTCGCAATGCTCCTGAAAACTTTTCCGGTCATTCGGGCAGAGTTTTGCGCTTAGTCAGATTTCTGCAAGGTCGCGCGAGCGGAAGAAGTACATTTCCTGACAAGGCCGGTTTACCTGCCCCTGTAAAACAGGTTTCAAGCTAAAACGCCGTGCCAGCGATAAATATTTTATCAAATGAATTACGGAATTATATCATAAGCAAGCAGCCTTCAGTTACAAATATTGCAATAAAGCAATTTCGCAAAATGGAATTCTATTGCCTTTTCTTCCCCCCCTTTTTTTAATACAAGACTGACAAATGTTTGATAATCTAAAGGTAGCTTTAATATGACTATATTTTTAATAAAATATAATTTTCTCAAATTCAGTGCAAGAACATTTTCAAATACATATGTTTTACCCGGAATTATTTGTAATATTCAAAAGAAATTAGACAAGACAACTTCTACCATATACATGAAATAAGGATTAGCTTTTGTTAAAAAAAGCATTGATATTGTTATGAATGGCAATACAGAACGTTAATTTATAACTTATAGAATTGAAATGTGCATAAAATGTTTCCAGTAAATATTTTGCAAAACCGTATAGAAGAAAATAAAAGTAAATGATTTAAAAATGAACTATGATTCTCAGGCGACAGGATATAAAAGTATTTTAATAATAATTTACACCTATTAACGTAACTACATTCTGTACTTTTCATCTGAATATTTTTGCATACATATATAAAGTTTTAATTTAAATAATAATTAAATTACATTTAAATTGTATGCTAAATATAAAACTGGGCGATAAAACTGTTAAAATTACGAAAGGTGTTTGTTGATTAAAAATTATACTTCTCATTAACTATAATCCTGAAAACTTTGTGATTCGATATCTTACATAAGTTGAATTTCCAGATAAATTACTGGTGTTTTTATTTCCTCAATCGTAAATTTGCTTATAAAACATTGTTAAAATAGCCTTTTTTTGTCAGAATAAAGCTGCTAAATTTTCTGATTAAAAGCTTTTGAAAATTTTTGCAAGGTATAGATTTATTTCATCGAATTGTGCAGATACTGAAAAGACACCTAACATATTTCATTTGAATCAAGTGTTCAATTCGCCTCATGCCAATTTATTTAAACTGAAGAAGTGCCGGATTCCGGTTTTTTGCCATGTGCAATTATTACCTATCACGGAAATAATTACACATTTTTTTTCCTATTCCCAACTGAAAGATTATAGCGTTATTTCTTCTAAACAGACTCATAATTAAGAAACATGCGATAAGCAACTACATTATTCAAGTATGATTGCATTTATGAAAGTCACGAAGATGCTGCATTATGACATTTCTTTTCATAAATCCAATTTAAAAGCCATCTGTCAGTCCCAGGCTTTATACTACAGCACTTATTATGCTTGTTTAGCTATGGCACAGCTTAACAACCCGCTAGCAGAAAAGCATTTGGCTCTCTTTTAAAAGAGAACACAGATTTTTATTTTTGTTTTCGGAAAAAAGAAGACTAAATCGAGGATTTTAACTTTTTCCTCTGCTTCCCAAAAACTGAATATTGAACTGAAACTGAAATTCTATAATAGCCGAATAATGTTCCTAAAACAGCTGAAACGATTTTATTTATGTGTTTTATGAATAAATAAGTCCTACCACGCAAATGCATAGGTAAAAATTATTTAATTGCAACAAAAATTTCCTCTGTTTACATTTTAAATTTAAAACGTTCTTAAGTTGATTCGCTTTGTTTACGCAAAGCAAAAAAGTGAAGTAAAAATATTTTGCGTCCTGATTCTCAATTAAAACAAATTATTTGTGCAAAGCATGAAATATGTCACTTCACATTCTTTAGCTACTCTTTAGTTATTGAATATTTGTATAGAATTAACTGTCCCATAACGTTGAAACTTTTTAATTCATACTAAGATTCTTAATGTATCTAGGACATTTACAGCAAATTTAAGTTATTCTCAATAGCTTATTTTTTTATTGATGGCTCTATAAATTAAAGAAAATTTAATGGATTAGCTGATTACTAAAATAATTTTCTTCTCTTATAACTGGAACTACATCTCATTCTAAAAATTCGTATAAAAAATCACAACTCGTCTACTCTCTCTCTCATTAAAAAAGGAAAGGCCTAATTATCTCCTTGTTTCTTCAATTTTTTGACAACATATAAACTATAACAGATATCAGAAAAAAGAAGTTTAATTTAATATCCGCTACAAAATACATAATCGCTATAAAAACTCGTGTTATTGTGAATTATTTCTCTTTAATGAGTCATCGGAATCCCATTTCACATTCTTGCATATCTAGAAAAAGCATGATTCCTTTTTTTTTTTTTTTTTTTTTTTGGCCGCAATAAATTAAAATAAATTTATCCAATGTTACGTTTTATTTGCATTACTAAAATACCTTTTGTTTTTAAAATTTAAAAAAAAATTATTAAAGTTTCACTTCTTCTCCCTCCCCCCAACATACATAAAAAAGGGAAGACAAAAAGAAAAACTTCTCTTTCCGCATCCTTCTTTTCTTCCATTATATAAATTGTATGGCTAAAGAAATACAAAGCTAAAATATCATGATACAAAAATAATTACGCGCCTAATTTTTTGGTGTAGAGAGTATCTTTATATTAATGAGTATCAAAATCTGTATACACGGCTTCGTTAAACGACAAATACCGGCGCATTTCTTCATCCTTCACACTGCTTCAAAAATTCCGCGCAACATTCATTTAAGTACCACTATCTCTTTATATGTGAAGTGATTAATTTACTTCATTTAACTGTTTTTGAAAAAGCGATATTATATAAATCATAAAAATATAAAAACATTCGATAGTTTAACTATGAGTAACGTACTAACCATTTCTGGCCGTGAAGTGATTATTTTAACAATATCCACCTGTAGTTCCATATGTATAAAAAATCGTGAATACTTACTTCAATGATTTTTATAATATCATAAAACATTAGATTCTAAACGAATTATTAGAATGAAGAGATTACATTCAAAGATAACTTTTGCCCGTTATTTTACTATGACAACTCATCTTTCCAATTGAATTATTTTTGTCATTAAGTGTTTTTCTTTCTCCCTTTATTACTTTATTAAGGAAGTTGAAAATAAAGTTACAAAATCTTTGGTACGAACTAATAAAATCTGCCACTATTCCTATTTTCAAATTATGCAGGTATAAATACATCATACTTTTAATAAAAATTTAATTTCATCAAAAGGTAATACAAAGGATATTCTGAAGCTAAACAAATTTATTTCTTATGTAAAGTGCAAAGAAATTGTCATACAAATATCAATTAGTTTTTTTCTGAAACGCACTGAGTACGCATATAGATGGGTACGCGCGTTTTACTTGTAGTTCTTGTCATAGATTTTTCGGTTAAGAGTGTAAAAACTGGCAACACATATAGCAACAAACAACAGCAGGTTAAACAATATTTCTGAAGGTAATCTCGGTGACGTAATTCACTACAGCTACATACTTTAAAACATAAATATATACATTTGAAAGCTAATTTATGAAACGTTTCATACTCACCTTTTAGTGATTAATTTCTTGTTAATAAACGTATTCCACTTAATGTTCCGAAATGAAAAATATCGAAAAACAATCCAAGAGAGGCAAATCACTTATCTTTTTACTTTGCTTTTCACATATGAACATAGCTGAGAAAAATTTGTTTTTTGAGTTATAATTTTCATAATGGAAGTCTATTAAAAATTATACAGAAAAGTTTTGCATCGAGTTACTATACGAAATAAATCGACCGCTTCGTTGCACGTTCCGACTGTAACTACACGTCCCGCTAGATGCCGCTTCTGAAGCAATGCGAATCGAGGTCAATCGGTCTGATTCTAAGATGGCTGCTGTGCAACACAGTGTGTGTTCGCAGTTCAGCCTATCGTCTGCTGTATTCAATTTTTTATATTTTATTTATATTCATCCTTAATGTTACTGCGATTTTCTTTTATACCTGCAATTTTTGGCATCGCGGTTATGCGGGAGTTGCGAAAGTTTTAAGATGTTATTTCAGCCTCCAGCGGCCAAAACGGATTGCTCAAACTGCGTTAGCCGTTGCTCAGGGCAACCGCGGATGACGACTTCCGTTTACAGCTTCTGTCCTATTTCCCTTTAAAATAATAAAGCCGACATCTCCCTCTAAACACGCTCTCTCTTTCCCATTCATTGTTTCTCCTCCTTACGTGAGATCCTGAGAAATATTTTAGACTATTGACACAGAATTAATTTTAATGAATGTTATAAATTTTTAATTTGTCGTTAATTTACAAATTATGAAGCGATAATTTAATTGTGGTGCACATATACACGTGTTACCTTTGCACATATTACATATGTTACATTTACGTTCTATTTTTTAATATCTGTATTGTTTATGTATTAAAAATCTGATGAGTTTTTAACAGAAATCATGAGCATTTATTAATATATATTTATTAATATTACATATATGTAAATTCATAAGCAATTATTAAAGAAATTGTTTGCAACAGAATTTAATAAATTAAGATGTGCATCGATTTCGAGGCATTTATTGTCTAACTCCTGCGAAATAAGTTCCATTTTAAACAGAAGGCCTATCTGAGGTTCCTTCCTGCTTGATCTTTTTGTTTTGAACTAAGATGTCTATAAAATTAAGTTTACGTTAAAAAATTACCATTTTTTGTTAGACTAAGCTACGATTTTTAATTCCTTTATACCAAATTAAGTAAAATATTATCATTAGCTTCGGAAATTCGAATTAATTTAGTCATTTTTATAATAAGGCTTCTCATTTCAAGGTACTGTTGATGTCCAATATATCGTAGTTCAGCTTAAGGTTTTAAGATGGAACTGAAGCTATTCGCAATCAATAGAGATAATACTTCGAAATTTGAATTCAAACCCGGGCTAGCAATTTGTGGAACGACGATCATGTTCCTACCGCACAAGTTAAGTTAACGGCCAATGGCGGGCAGCTTCAGTCAGTTAGCCGGGAAAGGATCGCCGGGGACGAGTGTGTTTTTCGCATTCGGAGTCAAAAGGTTTCACAAGAACAGAGCTTGGGCTTTTCGACTGCAAATGGGAGCATTATAAGTTAATATTCCTATACCATGAAAGAAAAATTTAAAAAATAACAGCAAAAGCTCAATTTGCTAAGAAGTTCTCAACAGTTTACTGAACAAATTTTTAAGATGGTGTGTGGCTAAAAAAAATGTTACTTGCGTTCCTAACATTAGCTAACATTTCTAACAATGGAATGCAATGTAGCCTCTCTAAAATGAGAATCCACAATTCTAGATGATTTTAGTCTTCCTTATTGGAAGTCGTCTTAAAAAAGAAATGTTTAATAAAAACTGTAATAATGTAAACGCAGTACTGCCAAACATAATTTCATTTTAGGTACATTCTGTTCAAAAAAATAATAGTGTATTTTTTATCGCGGAAGTTTGATTAGGTAAGTGAAAAATTAAATTCGAAAAAACTGGAATTGACACCGAAATTCAAAATATTGCTGCTACTAAAATAAAGAAAATAAACCGTTAAAAGGCTCATTGTTAGAATAGATTCAAATCAAATCTTATTGTCAACATTGAGATTCCATTCGACCTAAACACAAATATGTGAGGTATTTTCTCTCTCCTTGCCGCGTACCATCGCGGTGTAATTGAAAGCATATCCTGCTGCAAACACGAGGTCTAGAGGGCGAATCCCGGCAAGGGCGTAGTTGAATTTTCATATTACCTATTCCGAAATAAACCTAATGACTAGTTGCGCCCGAACGAAAATTTGTGGATGATAATTCGTCCCCCTGTTGGTTTTGACGATTGTTTTCCTGCCTCCCAGTCAGTCCTTAAAGTGGGGGAGAACAGAAATTTTTTTAACCTTTTCCTCCTGGTGTAATTGGAATCACGTCCGGCTAGCAATCAAGAAGTTAGAAATGCGAAACCCAGCTCGAGCACAGTTGATTTTTCTCATTTCCTGCTCCGAAATAAACCTAATGGCTCTACATCTGTTTGAACTAGAATTACAGTAAAAATCATAAAATAAAGTTTTTATTTTTAGACTACAATCATATATATATATATATATATATATATATATATGAGTATGAAGTACAAAATGTTATCCTAAAATTGCCAAGAGAATTTCTGGCATATTCAAAATACGCTTTTCTTAAAATTTCTGAATTCAAAGTTTTGGCCATCGCTGTAGTTTTTTTCTCTACCACAAAATGTTAAAAAAAATATAACTTTTGTTTGTTTAAAAAAAAAAACAGAGCTTTCGAGTTACAACTGATTTCAAATCTCAGAAAAGAGACAAAAGGTATTCATCCTCTAAGTTATATATTCCGTACAAATATTTCAGTAGAAAATCTTCATTTATTAAAGATCTTTCGAAGAATTAATACGAAAACTATTAATAAATAAATCATTAAATTTCATATTTGTTCAGTTTTGCACAATATCTCCATTAGTCCGCATTTTCACATAAGAATAAAGTACACCAATAAATGTATTTTAAGTGACTCATTAAGCAGTTAGTCGTTGCAAAAAAAAAAAAAAAAAAAAAATTAAAAACTCCTTTTTATTATTATTATTAAGCCAGAGTTTCCAAATCTGACGTGGGAAATAGAATTTCCAAAAGTGCAACAAAGGCATTTTAGTGACAGGCTAAAAGCAATATCTTGTATTTTGTAAAGATATATGAATACACTTTGTAGGAAAGATATAACTATCTATTACTATAGATATTAGATAGAGGGAAAACATTAGTCATTCCTTTCTTAATGGATACCTGAAATTTGAGAAGCACTCATAGAAATAAAGACGACCCATCCCGAACAAAAATTTCATCCTGAAACTAACAATAGGAATAATTATCCACCTATAGTACATTTATTACTAAAGCAGTGCTAAGCTTTAAAAATAAATGAAAACTAGAGGCAAATTGGAAGCTTGAATTCTCCCAGTTTTCTCAGATGAATTTTGCGTTGAATGTATATTTATATATTTAGTAATCGTATATCAAAAAATACTTAATCAGAAAGAGGAGTAAAAATAAACATTTAATGAAAGTATTTGCAAATATTTATTGTTGAATACTTTCATATAAAAATAAGTATGGTAATTTACATTAAGACAAAGGGAAAGGTATAAACTTTCTCTTGAGAGCTGTATACGTCTTTAAAATATCGACTTGATCTATTTACGGTACCCATTTACGGTTTCTTTTTACATTATGTCCATAACTGAAGAACAGAAATACGATGCAAAGAAGCGATTGTATCACAGCAGCTTGGGATCAGCTATCCATGGAGAAATTCCTTTTGAAAGACAACTATTTGAAAGACTGTTGAGCATTCACTATTTATTCTCTCTTCCTTCCGGCTGTGGGTCGTATGTAGCCACTGAATCAGAAATGTCCTCTACGAATAGCGAACCGCGTAAGTTAGGATGCATGGTTAGTAGACCGTCTCCAAACAGTAAATAAGTCGCATATCTTTAGCGTTAAAATTTGACATAGAGAGAGCAAAACACCCTTTCGCAATCTACTTCTAAAGGAGCTTGAATATGACCCTAAAGAATGATGTTCTTTAGGTTATTCGGAATAAGAAGGATTAGGAACGGTTCTTTGCCTGAAGTTGAAATGATGTGGAATAGTAGGGTGGTCCAAAGGGTCCAACTATACATTTCTATGAAAAAACCTGCAGAATTTTTATCGACTAATTTGTATGTATTAATAAATTAAATTAACGCTAATGTAATTCTACAGATTTTATTTTCATTGGACATTTATTAAGTTTTATTTGACAAATAGGCCTTGATTAAAGTTTCATTTTGTTACATTAGTCTATGATAATGCTTTAGCGAAATGGTAAACATCTTAACTGGGATAATGTTTACTTCCCGTTTTATTTTTAGAATGAAGCAGTGAGAAAAACTTCAGATGACAAATCAGACTAGTTAAGAAGAAAAATCTAAAAGCTTCCTTGACGAATTATTGATTTCATCCGGAATGGTTAATGTTTTCGCCTGATGTTTTCGCCTGATGTTTCCGCCTATAATGTTTAGTTTAGGCAAGATATGAAAGTTTGTACTAATTTGGAATCTATTTTAAGTCAGAATTCTGGGCTAAAACCTAATGAACGTTTACCGCAGTCTTTTTTGCTTCTACTTCCTACTGTTTTAAAATTGGGAATTAAATTTTCATCTTTAATATATAAAATTAAATTTAGAAGCGGGACGATTCCGATATTTTATTGAACTCAAACCATAAAGGTTCTCAAACCTGAAATCTCGATACATCTCGAATCCTTCTTATAATAAGATTTAAAAAAATAAATTAGTCTTCTTAATAAGATTTATGAAAGCTTTTAGTTATTATCAAAAGTTTTTAATTTTTAAAGCAAATTTTGAGACTTTTAATAAAAAACAAACATTAGAATGGAATTTTTAAAATAACACTGAAAAAATTGTTAAATACACATAAAATATTTTTCATTTTTCGAATCTCTCTTTTTAAATTAAGACAAATGCAGACGGGAGAGGATTAAGTTTTAACACAGTTAGATGATAAATATTGAACACTAAATTGGTTTCTGAAAATTTACAGTGCTGCACTCAGAGTCACTATAAGATGATATTAGTGATCCAGATCGGATAAAATTCTAATAATTTCGTTCTTTCTTTTAAAAAGAACTTTTGCACTGGTTCTTCAATAGACCTAACCTTTTCAAAATTTTGAGATTAGGGTTCCAAAGATTCGAATGAAAAAAAAAAAAAAAAAAAAAAAAAAAACCGCAAATATTTGAGTTTTTTAATCGCGAGATCTTTTAATTCTTGGAACTCGAAGAATCAAATGTCCCATCATTAATTAAAATAATAATGAATATAGAGGAATTAAAACTCTTTGTTTCCTTCGAAAATATCGAAAACTTAATGAAAATATGACTCCTTTTGTCATTCAGATGCT